TCGATCGGTGATCGTTTTCTCCTCACTCTCCTCCTCCCGACACTTCCGGAACATGGCACAACAATATAAAAGCAGTCACCAGAAAGCACACGCGGGGTACATCACCTGCAGCTTCTTGTAATTTCCAAAAATCAAAGAGGGAGGAAAGAGCCGTCTCTCGGACGATCTATTATAAATTTCTCTATCTGCTGATCGCTGACACCAGGATCCCGCTCTTCGAGAAGAGACATTGTCGGGGTCAACCCAGACAAGAAAAAATCAGTCTTGCGAGGCCATAATTCAACTTCAAAGCCGTCAATTTCAACATGATGCTCGTTTTATTTTCACCTTGTCACATTTCGCCTTTACAACAAATAATATCCCAATTTGCAGACACGGAGGGGGGGGTTCGTTTTCGTTCATTTCATTCGATCAAGAGACAAAATTGAGCTTCGTCTTCATTACTGAGGGGCCGCCAGCTTGGTAGGCTTAGTCCCCAGACCATTGCGGTTGCGGAAGAACAGGATGCTCTTGGCCGCTCCCTCGGCGCCTTCAGTAGGCTCAACCCACTGGCACATACGGGCACTCCTGTACATGGCACGGATGAATCCCCACGAGCCGCCCTCGACATCAGCACGGTAGTGCTTGCCCATGACGGGCTTGATGGCCTCGGAAGCCTCGTCAGCCTTGTAAAAAGGAATGGTGCTGACGTAGTGGTGCAAGACGTGGGTCTCGATGATTCCGTGGAAAAGCTGTCGGCCGATGAACCCAAACTCGCGATCGATGGTGGCGGCAGCGCCACGGACGAAGTTCCACTCCTCGGAGTGGTAGTGAGGGAGGGTAGGGTCGGTGTGTTGGAGGAAGGTGATGGCGACTAAATGGTGAGTGGTTAGCTGGCTGACATCTGGCCATGCGGATCTCGACCTAGGAAATGCGTCTACTTACCAAGCCAGTGGTTGACCCAGAGGTAGGGAATGAAGTACCAGACGAGCATGTTGGTCAGTCCAAACTTGTTACTGAGGAAGTAAAGAGCTGCTACGGTCAGAGCGATACCGATATCACTGACGACAATGAACTTGGCCTCCTTGTGATCGAAGATAGGACTGCGTGGATCAAAGTGGTTGACACCACCACCAAGACCGTTGTGCTTGCCCTTACCGCGGCCCTCGCGTTGACGCTCGTGGAAGTTGTGGCCAGTGACATTGGTCAGGATGTAGTTGGGCCAGCCAAAGAGCTGCTGGGCAATGAGCATGCCGAGGCTGAAGATGGGAGTCTCGGCGGTGAGCTCGGACAGCTCATGGACCATTTTGCCAACGCGAGAGGCATACTGCTCACGAGTCTTGGGCACGAAGACCATGTCTCTCTCCATGTTGCCAGTGGCCTTGTGATGCTTGGAGTGCGAGTATTGCCAGCTGAAGTAGGGAACCAACAGGGCGGAGTGAAGGAGCCAGCCGGTGGTGTCGTTGATCAGGCGCGACTCGGAAAAGGCCTGGTGACCACACTCGTGGGCAATGACCCAGAGACCGGTGCCAAAGAGGCCCTGGAGGAAAGTGTAGACGCCCCAGAGGAGGGCACGAACGGGCATGAGGGGAATGTATTCGGGAGTGACGAAGTTATACCACACATAGAATGTGGTGGCCAGGCAGGCCATGTCGCGGAGGATGTATGCCCAGCCAGTGATGGCGGACCGCTCGAAACAGTGCTTGGGGATGGCATCGCGGATGTCCTTGATGGTATAGTCGGGTGGGACAAACTCGTTGCCATTGGTATCGATCAGAGGGCCGTACTTGGTCTTGGAGTCGACCTCAATGGATGACATTGACGACAAGGAGGTGGAGGAGGCAGAAGGGCGAGGAGAATCGCTGGGAGAAACGGCGGCAGAGGACTCGGAGTCGGTTACTGTGGTCGACGTCGCGGTTCGCTTGAGAGCCGGGCCACGCCTGGCGGCACCAGAAGCAACAGCAGATGCCATGATGGATGGGCGATTCTTTCCCTGGGGGGAACTCTGTGCCTTTCCCGTTAGACAATTGGGTCCCCGCGGGTTGCAATTGACGACTGAGAATCAACTGAACGCCCGTTGAATATGCCGAGAGAACGGGGTGGGCAAGGTGGAAGGGAAGAGGAAGATGTTCTGGCGGGGAGGTGGGAAGGAAGTGGGAAAGGGAGGATAGAAAAAGGTGAGCTGGCCACCCGAGTCAGGAAAGCAGGGGTCGCAGAATCAGGAGAGATGTATGTTGCCGTACCTAGAAATGATAAGCCAATTTTTTTTTTACTCCTTTGTCCAAAAAAATAAGGGCAGGGAAAAAAAGGCGGCTTGCAGGTGGCCGCGGGCACCAAAGATGCGAGGGTGGAGAGTCAGAGCCTAGTTCAGGCCGGCTCGTGTAGGTATTTTTTTGTTGGGGTTCGGTCGTGGAGCCAGGGACCAAACTCATACAGAACAGGGTCCGGAAGGAAGGGCCAGACAAGAAGGAAGAAACCGACTGCTTTGAGGCAACAACTGGCGCCCCCTGCCGGCTCACATCTATTATTGTTCTTCTTCCAGAGCAACGACGACAAAATCACATGTTTTTTGCTTCCGAACGATGGCCGACGCGGCCGTGGTGCCGGGGACACCTGCAGCCAGCAAACAAACCAACGAAGGATCCCTCCAACCCTCCATCAAGCAAAGTTGATGATAAGCTATGTGCCTGTCCGGGGCTAGCACAGTAGTCTGATGCCTAGCACGCACCGAGGCATCGGCCTACGATAGGAACGTGGTTCAGCACACCATGGCCAATGGGTCAGCCATCCATCTCATCCACCCACCACACACACACACAGCTTCCACCGACGCCACCCACCATCCGCAGCATTAGCACACGATTCAGTGTGTGTACATTGCCGAACGCCCTATTACATTACCTTGACGAAGTTCATGGCTGCCACATTACTCATGTCAGGTATGGACCACTGCCCTAGATCTGATCTACCAAGCGCCAGATGAGCAAACTCGTTCTTCTAGAAGTACACAATGCTACATTGCGGATGACGCAAGTTGTTTCCTAGTCCGGCCTATGAAAACCTAGATGAGCAGGAAAATCCCTACCTGCCTTGCTGGCCTACCACAGGATGCGGGTGGAGGTCAGTGGAGGAGATGCCAGCCTTGGCCCCTGGGCTATCTCCAGCCGGTGTAACAAGTGACGATAAATTCCCGTTCAGAACAATGGTGAAGAATTCCGCACATCCCAGGAGTGTACGACTGTACATGCCAGAGCCTATCAACTTCACCTGAGATCCCGTTGCGCAACCCTTGTGTACATTGTAGGAGGCCCTTGTGTCTGGGAAAGCGGCAATGTGCATCAAGTGAGAGAGAGCTATTCAGTTGGCTGCCTCTGGCTGGTCCTTTCTGGCTTCCAGGTTCCCCGCCGCCACCACCAGAACTTGATGCACGTCGACAAATGGATAGGCGGTGATTAAAACACACTCTCCTGCATCCACCCCAATCATCGCGCAGCTATTTTATTGACCGCCACGGAGGCCAAGACAGACATGAGACATGCCGCCGGTAGTGCCATTATTACCGCCGGCACGGGAGACATCCATTGGGGTGAAGTTGGGTTCAGCTCGGACCCCGCCCCCATGAGGGAGGATCCGTTGACGACGAGGAATTACCGACAGCAATCATGTGTCCAAAAGCCCTTGTCTCCTAGCGCTCATGCTCTGTTCTTGATGGTGTGATGCGGGTTGATTCTCGCGGTCGCATCTCACGTTATCCGTGTCTGCGTCGAAGCAAGATTCCATCCCACCCAATCTGTCGCTTTCAGCTTTCAGCTGGCCATGCGGCGCGCGGCACACGAGCAGAGCTGAACAAGACAGATGCTTGTTCCTAATGATGGATTGGTCTCTATGGGTACACGTGGTCTGCTAATGCAGTCCAGTTAACAATTGGACCGTGTTGAAGCCGGTTCATGTAGGCTGGAGCTCGGCCGACAGCCCGATGCCACCGTTGTCATCACATGTAAGAAACGACGAGCTCGGAATTGGTTCTCTCAAGTCCCGCAATATGATCTACATGGCTGGCCCCACACTGTATAAAATGTGAAAGGGGGGGAACCCTGCGACTGTCCCGGCCAGCGACAGGTCCCATGCCATGCCACCAGATGGTCCAAATACTCGAACGATGAGGACGAAGATGCCGCCGTGTTGTCCCGGTGTGGCCTCACGGGGAATCAAGAATATCTGGCCGGAGGAAGCTGCCAGCGATATCGAAAAGGCCGGTGGAAGCAGTAGGATTGCATCGCAGCCGATTGGTTCCGTCAGCCCGGGCGTGTCTCTCCAGGGAGGGCGATGTTTCTGTTGGGAAATTTGTTGAGCTTCCCACTTTGCACATGCCTTTTATTCCCCGACTGGCATTTTCTGAGCAGCAGACAAGCACTGGACCAGGGCTGCCTCCCCACTGCCACTGTGGCCTCTGCTGACTGTTCCCCCCATCCAGCTATTTACGTCCGCTATTACACGTATTGCGCTGGCTGCCCCTCACCGTGCATCGCTGTTAGTCCACAGTAGGACCCTTCCTTAGGCTTCCAACGCTCAAGCTGTATGTAAACATTTTTTCTAGTGGGGGAACCCAACCTTCGGTCCCCCACACACGTTCCGGGTAGTTGTCGATACTCGTATCATGGCATGATCCGGAAGGTAACCACTACACCAAGCTAGATTTCTCTGTCATATTAATAACTATCGCCAAAACCTCACAATCCACTATTTGGCCCTGCACGTGGTGTCTTGAAAAGTTGGGAATTTTTTCTCGAGTATATTCTACATGACTATAGCTATCTACCACCACCCCTGTGACTCTCCCATCTAAATTGAACCTTACTCACACCCAGCATAATTGCCTGCCTCCACACATCGTAACTCTGCTCCGAACATTGTGAACGCTTTGCATGTCGTCCGTCGACTGACGGGGCGCATCGCTATGCTGTTTTACCTTAGCTCCGATGTGTGTTCCTGCTTCTTCTTCCTCTCTCTCGTTTGCATCTTCATTTTACTCTCTCGCCTCTCGCTCTCTTCCCTCTTCCTCTCCCTCTGTTCCGCATCTTCTTCTCCCTCTCTCGACTCTCACCCTCCGCCCTCTCCCTCACATCTCTCTTATTCGTCTCCTTTTCTCCCTTCTTCCTCTCTTTGTCCTTCCTTTGCTTTTGCTGCTTCACCTGTTGCTCTAGTTCCCTTCTCCTCTCCTCTTTGCCATTGCACTTGCTCGTGTTTCCTTCGTCTTCACTTGAATCCGACTGTTCCTCGTCTCTAGGCTCCTCCTTGACCTTCTTCGATTCTTTTTTCGATATCCGACGGCCCTCTTCTTCTCGATCTTTGGGGCTATCATGCAGACGTTTCCCAGAGTCTTGATTCTCTCCCGGAACACTGCTCACGGTGTTCGATTGCTGGTGGCTCGACTTCTTGGGGCAGGGCGTCGAGTGAGGAGGCGTCATCTCTTGTGTGAGCCCGTGCGCAGGGGAGCTGGCACTCTTTCCCTTCACGTGCTTTCCTGATCGCGGCGCTGAGCTGCGGCTGCGGCTGCTGGGCTCATGCGACTGGCTGGCAGGTGAGTCCGATTCATCATCTGAGGCTATGACGATCACCTCATCCTTTGCTGTGGGAAACGCCTTGGCCTTTGTTGTGGGCAACTTCCGCTTCCTCTTCTTCGTCGGCCTCGCAGATTCTATCGGTGTTGGGGTTTCTGTCGATTTAACAGCTAAAGGCTGGGATGCCATCGGCGAGTCGTGGGTGACGGTTCCAACGGAGGAGCAGTCCCGCTTGCGCTTGGTCCTGCTGCTGCTGGAGGGCACCCCTGATTCTGTTTCTTTAGAACGAACGCCAGGCCCTTTCTCTCCATCTGTGTCGTTCAACTCAAAGATGTCGCTTGTGAAAGGCTGGTTGGATCGCGGCTGGTCGGAGCAGCGGGCATCCTGCATGGGAGGTGCTTTCTTCTTACCCTTTCTCGTCTTCGGAGGCTGAAATGGATGCTGACCGTCGAGCATTACCGAAGCGCCTTCGACAGGGACTATGTATGCCAGCGTAGGCCAGGCACTGGCTGTAGCCTTATCGTCATCATCGTCATCATCCCCAGGGATGCTTGAACCCTCACTTGAAGCCCTCTCTTCGGGCATATCTTGCGCTGCAGTCGAATGGTCCGCATCAATGTCCGGGATGTCAGCAAAGTTTGAGATATCAGCCACATTGTCAGGTGAGAGCCCCAACAAGTCATCCAGAGCCTCATTTCCCCTCTCAGCTGCATTCACAGCAGAGATGCCCGCCTCAATGCCGTTGCGAAACTCAGCATAGTACCGTCCCCAGTATATTTTATTCCAAGTATCAATAAGTTGATTTAACCCGTTTCCGGGGGATTGCGAGTCGGTCAGTGGCCCCTGAGTTTTCAATGTGCGTCTTCCTTGTTTGCACAATTGAACCAACCGTTTTTGAAGGCCGTTCTGGTCTACTAGGAGACGTTGCAACCGTTGAGGGAGCCGGTTAAACACAACGTTCCTAAATCGAGGTAATCTGCAGGTAAAGTCCAAGTAAAGAAAGCGATGACGTATGAGTTCGTTGAAAAGAATCTCTTGATCCGGTTCGCAGAGTTGCTCGGGTTGAACCTCCGGCTTGGTTTGTTTGCCTTTTCGTTTCGACGCTTTCTTCCTTTTTACTGGAATTGCACACTATACACGCCTAGGTGTGAGTCCTAACAGCCACCATCTGAATCGGATTCTGAACACAAAAAAATACTCACTCGCCCAGAAGAATTGTTCTTCTGCTTTGCAACAGGATCCTTGGTCTGTTTTGGCAATGTTTGGTCAGGTCTTCGTCTACATTTTCGTGTTCACGGGATTGGTTTGGCTGGGTGAGGCAACAAGCATAGAGATGAAATGAGCACACACCTTTGCCGGTGCAGGCCGTGCTGTCTGCGGTTGCCCAGATGGCTGATCCTGGTCAGGCGAGGCTGACATTAGATTCCCGTGATGGACAGAGCTGGGTTCTCCAGGCTTAACCTGACCACCTGGATACGCTGCCACAGGGCCCGGATTCATTGTCGCCCGAGTGAGCGATGTCGTGGGACCTTGATAGGCCTTCCCCTGCAGCCTTTCGTAGAGAAGTTTGTCAGCTAAGGGAGTCTCTCGGCGAACGAAGCCGCTTTTAAGCTGGTTTTCTGGTTTCTGATACTCTGTCTCTCTGCAGATGTGATCACCCGGCTGTCCTTGCCTGGCAGGACGCCGTTTCAAGCTCATGGATGACGAGGTACAATAAAGGAAGCACGAGTGGGACTAATTGACCAAACTCGAATGACTGAGGAGGAGAGTATTTCAAGTGACGCGGGGGCGGGACACAGATAGATGAGAGAGTTAGGTATTGCCACGACAACAACCGACTTCCTCTGGGAGGAAACAATATACGTACTCACTATGCCCAGGTAAGCGAGCCATCTACATATCTTTGACTTCAGCCCTTGTCTCAAATTTCCCGCCATTCGACGAGTCGCTTGGCCTGGTGCTGGGATAGATGCAGCCACCGTTACATGTGGGTACTCTCAATAACGCATGAGCCCAACCTCCGTGAGATCTGAAGTGCTCCCCAATATAATTACCGTTCAAATGCCAAGTCCCGATAGGTCTTTGTATAGTTCACTCATGGGGAGTTATATTCTCGATGTAACTGCCGGGTCAAACAAAACTCCATGACCATGAAAAGCATCAATACAATGAGTGTGAACACCAGTCTACCAATCCGTGATATCCTGGCCCAACCACTGTCATTCTCTCGTCATTTTTTTCTGTTCGCGCAGAAAAAGAAAAGATAGGCATCAGAACTAGTCCAGTTAACAGAGCAACTGGACTCGTAACCGCCATTTCACAAAAGCAAACACAACATGAAGTAATCCTCCAGGGACATGCATCCAACCAATAGCACGTCAGTCATCAGCACTACGAGTGGCGGGAAAGCGTCACAGCAACAAGCATTTCGACGCACTGGCCTCGGGACATGCAGGTCGCCGAGTTGTGTTTTATCTCGCTTGTAGGATCAAAAAAACTTCCGCGAGTTCCAGGCTCCAGCTCCGACTGCCTGTCGCCCTATCTAGTTTCATGGAAGGACAAGGTTCAATGGGCAAAAAGAAAATACCAAATTAAAATTTCCCATCACACTGATCAACCAGGTAGGCAAGGTTGCATCACAGCAATAGACTGAAAGCCACACGAAAAAAAAAAAGAACAACGCCAGCCTCTTTCAGGTCAAACGCCCGCCATTCAAGTACGACCATCAAAATTCGAGTTTCACAACCCGAGTCCCATCAGCCCATTAAAAAATTTTCTCGGCGATCACCAGGGAAACATCTTCCCCTCATTTTCGACGACTTGCCGCAGTCTCTGGGGCATAGAGTCGACCCACGTGTTGACCTTCTGCTGTTCAATGTTAGCCCACGCGTCGCGGGCCGCCTGTTTCAACCCTTCGGTGTCCCAGTTCTCCAGTGGCTGTGTGGACCATTGCTTGTGAGGCGGCCACAGAGAGTCGAGCGGATTGAGGTCTGGACTGTCCAGGCAGTTGAAGTGGCACCTTAAGCCATTCTCCTCTTTCCACTGTTGGGCTAGATTCACCTTGCTGGCCGCACCATGAGCAAACGACTCGATATCCTCTTCCAGAACAAAGGGTTGAGCGCCCTCTGCTGAAATCCACGTCTTGACAACACCATCCAGCACTTTATCGCAGTAGTCTTGCATTGAAATCAGCCCGCCATTGTTCGGGCTCGTAGACTCGTCGTAAAAAAGCAGCTCGGACTTGAAGTCATACCCAATTGCGGCCCAAGCATGCACTCTTTTGATGTCTCGGGCCCATGCACTTGCAGCCGGCTGGTCACTGCAGCCCTGACAATACTTCTCTCCCAGCTTTGGCAGCAGTCTCACCTTGCCATCCAGCCCAAAACCAAAGTGCAGCTCGCCGCTGAACCTCACGGCGTGCCAGTCTTGAGGCTGGGCAAAGGTTTCGAGCATACGCTCTGCATGCTCAACACGCTTCTCCCGCGTTTTCTTGTGCACCCAGCAGCGACTGCACCCCATGCAGCGGCGGTAGCCCATGGTGCCCATGGTGCGGTGGAGAGTTCTGGCATTGCATTCTGTCTCGAGGCCAGCCTCCTTGGCCAGCTTGGACCAGTTGAGGTTGACGTTCTCGTACTGCTCGTCCCACAGAATGCTCTCCATCTTTTGCTGATCCGCCTCGGTGATCTTCGAGGGCCGGCCCCGCGTCTCCTCCCACTCTGGATCGTTGCGCCTGGACGCAGGGATGTTGAGGGCCGCATACCCCTGAGAGCGCGACAGCTCGAAGTGGCGGAAGATGGCCGACTTGTTCACGGGCAGACCTTGGGACTCCAGGTAGGAGATGGTGCCTCGGACCATGGCCCGTTTAGGCGTGTCTCCATGCTTGTAGCCGCTTGGCATGATGGCGCTTGTCTGGTGCGCGGCGAACGGGCGGAAAGCTTCTGGACAGCGAGACGCTGGAGCAGAGGAGGGAGGGAAACAATAAGTGTGCGGTTGTTTTTGTCAAGACGACTTCCCTTCCATGGTGGAGGCCAATTTTTCGCCCGCGTCGGGTTTCTGTCCCGGTTCCGGTTTGGGTCATCAATGATCCATCAGTGGCAGCACGTGCCCCACCACAGTGACCTACCACGCAACAGTAGTCGCCTTCTTCCTCGAGTTCAAAAAGGGGCTGATGAGCGAAAGCATGGCCCCTCGCAATTGAACAGCAAGAAATGCCAAATTGCGAGGTCCACCTCTCCCGTTGAATGTCAAGACGGGATCGCTCTCGGCCGATTGCCGATCTTCACCCATCGAGGAGAGAGGGGGACGGATGGTTTCGACTGGCCATCATCCTTCTCTGCTCCTGCTCGCTTCAAAGCAGTAGTTATTAAATCCAACGTCCCCTCACTCGCTTCTTCCTTGGGTTGGGAATTTCGGCTGATACTGCTCAGATATGGGGACAATGGCGCTGGGCTAGTTGGCTTAGCACAAAACCAGCATCTCCTGAATGTCTGGCCGTGGGGCTGGCTGCCTCCAGGCAATTCGAATTATCGAACGCTGCGGCGTAGGATGAAGTCTTTCGCCATCTCTATCCACCTTCGTCTCTTGCACCAGCAGAGCTTGGTAGCAAGAACAATGGACAGCGCCTGGTTAGAATTCATCACGTGACCTGTTGGCTTGCGAAGTGAAGGCACTGAAAGCTTTACGGGCACGAAAGCCAATGAATCGTACTATGTACAGCCTAGTACAGATCTGGGGAATGTGGCTCAGATTGGTTCTGCTGCAAGACTCGTGCCTGGGACCAATGTCAGCGGTTCCCGGTTTTCAGCAGATTCGTCCACGCCATCCCCAAGGAAGTTTAGACCTCTGATCATTGAGAACACGCTAATTGTCGATGGGCGTCAAGCTACAATACATTCTAGCTTGAAAGGAGAATCCCATGGTGAATCTTTTTGAGCCAACGGCCTCGCTGGCCCTCATCCTACCCACTTGATGATATCGAAAACGGCTTTGCCCCTGCGGCCCCTGGCGAACGCACGCAGGAAAAAAGCCGATTTGGTGCATGAGGCCACTAATGAGACATGCACCAGCATCGTGTCGAGGCCGATACGACAGATAGAGTCTAGGGTCTCGGCTTATTAGTCCCGTAGTCCAAGTTTCGCGTGTCTTTCCAAGCGCCATGTGGTGATAACGTGGGTGACAGTGACATATCACGCACATATGTAAGATGTTCGTTTGCCTTTGCTCCACGGACCCTCAAAACTGGGATGCTTGGCCAGTTCCTGTCACTCTTTATCACCGCGTCTCCTTCCTTTTTCTTCCCTTCGACCGTGGTTGATCGACGTTCCTGCAGCCACAGCCGCACTTACTGGGGTCTTCTCCTCGTATGGCTCGATATCATCACTAGACCTGTAGCTGGTGTAGGACAAAGAGCTTCCGACAATGGCCGTCGAGAGCCAGGGGCCCGCGCTTCTCGCTGTAGGCGCTTGTTTTTTGACACTTGCATGGGTTTGTGTTCTGTTGCGAGCCTATGTCCGCGTCTATCTCGTCAAGGCGTTTGGACTTGACGATTGGCTCATCGTAGCGTCTGTGGTATGTATAAGTCGAGCGGTGTGGTCGAATTGGAGACCCTGTCGTCGGTGAGCGGTCAATATGGAAGAACTGATGGCTAATTCCTCTCAATCCAGATACTCTACTCAATACACAACACTTGGATGCTCATTGGTATTCACTATGGAACTGGTCGGCATCATGCTGACCTCCCGGTCGATGGTATCCAACATGCCATGATGGTGAGATTTACCCCTTTCTTTCTATTCTGTGGCGCACTACTGACCATCCGTTGATCTCGCAGTATTGGTACCTCGATTTCATAGGTTATGCATTAACCATGATTACTTCAAAGGCGTCCATTGCCGTCTTCCTCCTTAGGATAACGTCGTCGACCCGCTTGCATTCGTGGATCATTTACATCTCCCTCTGTATAACAACGGTCACGACAACCGCCTTCATGTTCGTTTGCATGTTTCAGTGCCAGCCCATCCCCTACTTTTGGACTAGGCAAGGCGACGGGAAATGCATCGGTATCAACGTCATTATCACTCTGACATATACGTTCAGCACGTTCAGCATAGCCACCGACTATGTCTTCGCCTTCCTCCCAATTGCCATTGTGTGGAATTTGAAGATGAAGAAGCGTGCGAAATGGCTGCTGGTTCCCATCTTCCTCCTAGGAAGCGTGTAAGCTCTCTATAACACCCCATGTTGCACGAGATAGGAAGGCTGACGCTCTCACCAACCGACCAACAGTGCAAGCTCTGCGGTCGCCGTTCGTTTTGCATACGTAGAGACATTCCGAGATGCTGACTATCTTTGTAAGTCCTTTTTAGCTCTATGCAACTGTGAAGCCTGGCTTGCTGACAGAGATTCGCGCCACAGGGGCCACCGCGCCAATCGCCGTCTGGTCCAACGTCGAGATGGGCCTCGCCATCACAGCTGCCAGCCTTGCTACATTGCGTCCTCTCGTCCGTACCATCAGCGCCAGCCTGGGCTTCTCGAGCAGCGGGGGACCGTCGGGGCCCTCTGGCGGACCATCTCACACTCTGAACGGCACCGCCGCGGGCTCCTCTGCCTTCGACCGTTCCCGTACCAAGAGGCAGCTGACGAGGAACGAGGAGGACCACGACTCGGACGAATTCATTGACATGACCCATTTTGCCGACCACTCCACCAACGCCTGGGCAGGAGAGGGGAATGCCGCCGCTGACCACATGTCGAAGATAATGATCACAAAGGAGACGGAGGTGACTGTGACATCGCTACCGAGTGATTCATCTCCACCAAACGTCCCGTTCTGGAAGAGGAAGGCATCCGAGAGAGAGATGAGCGATAATGAGAGCCAGGAGGTGCTCCGATCGGAGGGAACGGACGACGCGACGAAGGATCACCGGCCAGTGGTGCCGAAGAGCTTTTTGCCAAAGCGAGATGGGTCCCAGACTCAGAATTGATGTAATGTAATACGACATGACGGATGTAACGATGTCGAGTTGAGACCGGGAAATATGCATAATTTTTGTCATATTTGTCAATCAGATATGATCACTTTTTAATCCTCGACAACTCATTGGTACCAATGTGGCTCAAATCAAATGGTTTGACGAATACCCATCATGGATAGACAGATACCCTAGATCACAAAAGAGCCAGACTGAAGATCAAGAGTGTCCCGCGAGCAAAGTTATGAATAGATGTTTTAAATTTTTTATTTGTTCATTCACTCATTCACTTTTATATACTCATTAATTTTTGCATCTAGCTGTCCAGGTTTCCGATGGTAATGGACTTGATGTTCTGGTACTCGGCCATTCCGTACTTGCTTCCCTCGCGACCGAGACCACTCTCCTTGATTCCGCCAAAGGGAGTCTCGGCAGCGCTCATCAGACCAGTGTTGACGCCCACCATGCCGCACTCGAGCTTGCGGGCGACGCGCATGACGCGGCCAATGTCCTTGCTGAAGAAGTACCCGGCGAGGCCGAACTCGGTCGCGTTGGCGAGCTCGACGGCCTCGCTCTCAGAGGCGAAGGAGAAGATGGCGGCGAGGGGCCCGAAGGTCTCGTCGGTGGCGACCTGCATCTGGGGGGTGGCGCCGCTGATGACGGTGGGCTCGTAGAAGAAGCCCTTGCTGTCGGCGGGGGGCTTGCCTCCCGCGTGGAGGACGCCGCCCTTGGCGAGGGCGTCGGCGACGTGCTCGGTGACCTTGGTGACGGCGCCGGCGTTGATCAGGGGGCCCTGGGTGGTGCCCTCGTCGATGCCGCGGCCGAGCTTGAGGGCGTTGACGCGGGCGACGAGCTTCTCGACGAAGGCGTCCTTGACCTTCTCGTGGACCAGGAGACGGTTGGCGCACTGCGAAAGGACATCTTGTAAGCCGGTGATTTGATGGGTTCAAGATTCAAGGAGGAGTTTACATACCACGCAGGTTTGGCCGGAGCCGCGGAACTTGCAGATCATGGCGCCGTCAACGGCCTTGTCGAGGTCGGCATCCTCGAAGACGATGAAGGGGGCGTTTCCACCGAGCTCCATGCTCACGCGCTTCATGGTGCCGGCAGCGGCCTTGGTGAGGATCTTGCCGACGCCGGTGGAGCCGGTGAAGCTCAGCTTCTTGACGTCGGGGCTGTTGGCGAGCTCCATGGAGGCCTGGCGGTTCTTGGTCGGCACGACGTGGAAGCAGTTGGCGGGGATGCCGGCCTCGAGGGCCAGCTTGGCGAGGGTGAGGGCCGTGAAGGGGGTCTCGCTGGGGGGCTTGATGACGACGGAGCAGCCGGCGGCGATGGCGGGGGCGACCTTGCGGGTGATCATGGCGGCGGGGAAGTTCCAGGGAGTGATGATGCCGCAGACACCGACGGGCTCCTTGAGTGTGATGACCATGGAGTTTTGGTAGGAGGAGGGGATGACATCGCCGTATGATCGGGTGGCCTCCTCGGCGAACCAGGAGATGAAGCCAGCAGCGTACTTGACCTCACCCTCGGCCTCGGCGCGGGTCTTGCCGTTCTCGAGGGAGAGGATAGTTGCGACTGGATAGCGGGTTAGTATTGAGGTTTGACTTATTGCTTCCGGGGGCTGCTTCACGTACTGTCTGCTGAGTTGGCGATGATCAGGTCGTACCATTTTCGCAGGAGGGCGCCTCTCTCCTTGGCGGTTGTGTTCTCGTGGAATTCCTTGGTTCCGATCTTGGCGCTGGCAATGGCATCGACGAAGTCCTGCTGGTCGAGGTCGGCGCATTCGAGGAGGGTGGTGTTGGTGGAGGGTTCGGAGACATTGAAGGTCTTGCCGTTGACGCCTGTCCTCCACTCGCCGTTGACGAGACCGGACGAGACGATCAAGGACTGGTCCTTGACCTGTGATGAGAGGACGGATGTGGACATGATGTGTGAGTGTGCTGTGAACTGGAGAAACAAACGAAACAATCAACTTTTATTCTGCCCTGGGGAAGACTACAGCACAGTATTAAGCTCTAGAGCTCCCAAGCTCTGCGACACCGGGCGAGCTCATGTTAAATAGCACGCGTGAGCACAAGTAGTGAGGGACCGGCCGGACCGCATGGACATTGGGGTAAGTGAGCTTCTCACCAACCTCAACCCAACCAGAGAGCTGTCCAGGAAACGCCAAACGGGTAGTTCTGAGCCGGCTCGTCCCGGCGTCTGTCCATCTCTCTCCTGGCCACTAGCTAGCGTGGGGAGGCCGTCGCAAAAATCATTCATAGGTTGATACTCGAAGCCTCGCCTCCAACGACCCCGCCCCCTCTTTTGGTGGGCTTGTGACGGGCTTGCGAGGTCCATTTTACATGCAGATCTCCGGCACCATCTCCACACGATCTGGAACCTACGGCCGAGCCATGACACCAGCTGCAACATGGCCTGACCCCTCCCCTCCATTTCCCTTGCCGGACACACCCAGACCTGGCCAGCATTTACACAGGAACAGTCCCTAATTTTGCATTTTCCAGTCGTTTCTTTTTCCCCTCTCCATGGTGTCGCATCAGGACCGCCTTCGGAATTCGTTACGAGAGAGGCAACGGCGTGCGTGGGTCTGCTTTGTCCCGGTCCTCCCGGTTTTCTTTTTCCCGGCCCGGCTTGATTAGCAATTCCTCACTCCATCTCCGGCCCGGTAATTCACGAACCATCGAGAGCTCCTATTTGAATTTCCATGCCCTTGGTACCTGCCGGTCGGCGTGGCAGGCTGGTGCCCTTTTGCCTCCCTCCGATATAGGAAAAGCTACGCGTGGGAGGAGCATAGCAGGTGATCGATCGAAATGGGCGACGACGCGATGCACTGCAGATTGCTAAACCATCTTTTCGACCTTTAGTTAAGTGAAATGACAAATCTAAAACCTGAGGGAGATTTCCAGCTCACTTCCTTCACTCTGGAAAAACTGGCGATTGGGCTAAGATGCTGTCTATCTCTACCCAATAGCCAAAGCAGCTGGCAGAGAAACAACATGGCATGGTCGCCCATGATCTCACGTGCTGTCTGCCGCTACCCTCGTTCGCTCTTACAGGAGATGTTGCTCTGCTTCCGTGAACATTTTGGTTTGCTCCTATGAATGCTGTCTCGGTCGCATCACAGTCACTTGCCGCTGAAGTGCCATAAGAAGTGTTCAAGTTATGAAGATACTCCAACCACACTGGTTCACGCTTACCATATCTTAAATAGTTTGGAATATCACTCACTTGGAACGCAACATGGGTATCTCAATACTTAATCGTTCGCCTTTTCTTCTTTTCACGAAGTTGCCAACATGGTTGTATGAAGCTGCGGCTTTAGACGAGTCCAGAGGATGGCTACCCACGGAATTGAGCGATCCGACTCATTCGCGCAGTGAACGTATGGCTAGAAATTAAAAATCATTGGTCACAGTAACAGCGGCCTGCTGCATATACAGACCGAAACAAGGGATTGGAAGAGGATAACTATCGGGCGCCCCAAGTGGAAGTGCCCATCCACCCTTGAGCATAGACCTGTGACACAGCTAGTAACACTGGCCAAACTGACAGTTCAAGGTGGAGTGAGACTGAACGGAAAATAAATCCGCAGTCTGTGCGCTGTGCAGATGGCCTCACCGAGCTCCTGCAATGCAGGCTGCCTTCCATTGGATTGGGAACGAAAAGAAGCCAGTGACTTGCCGTATCGGTACAGGGTCCTGGTCAAGAAACTGTGCAGTGACTGCAGACTGAAACCAATCCCCAGAATACGGACTGTCTGGAGATTTTCGCAAGGTCGGCCGCTTTCTTCCACACATCCTTGTTGCTCACCTGGATCTGTCTATGGTCCTAGGGTTAATGCAGGCCCGGAAGGGTATGATGGGACGAGAAAACAAGGGCTATCAGGCCAAGTATTCCTCCAAATCAACCATCAACCGGGGTCGCGCTTTGCTCTCCTCCAAGGTTTAGCCAGGTCGACGATGCCTTCAAGCTCTGGTGGCAACCCGACTGGCTCTCCAGGGGATCAGTGTTAATTACAAGCCCCACTGAAGGAAGTGATCCCCAAAAGTGAAGACGCTTTGTTTGACACCTGCAATCGAGATCTCTGCTCAGGGGAACAAGACGCGTAATTCTGAAAAGAGGGTCTTCTGTAACCATCCGAGCAGACGTCAAACCACAAACGGGAGGAGGAGAATGCATCCGGCTGAGAAGGGATATAACCGAAAGAAAAACTCTTAATGTGTGCGGGGGGGGCTTATAGGCCTATGAACGAATGCATGGGGAGAAACCGAGCATCACGCGACACTCCTCTTCACCAACAATTGATCCTCGCCCGTTCTTTGGCTAGGACGCTACTTCTTCGGCGCTCTGGTATAGTGATACATACTACCTGGTAAGTAGATCCCGTCTCAGGAGTGCATCTCTTGCCACCTTCAGGTTCATCCATCCAGAAGGATTTGAGCGTAAAGGCGGGCAGAACTCTATTGTGACGGCAAATCCTTCGGGGAGGGTTTGGCCAATTCCCGGGCCGTGCATTAGTCTCACATCCTTCGGCCCTACTCTTCCTGTCGATTTCGACTCGGCAACGGCATATACGGAATAAGAGGAGGGGTGGCTGTTCCGAGTCTTCTCTAGGCATGATAGTCATAGTTCCTCACTCAAGTCACTCGAGGGCGATCATGAACGCCATCCGGCGCAGGACAGTGCCAATTAATATAGACGTGCTTGCTAGGATGCTCCAAGTCCCACTAGAGTGATTCAAAAATATTGCGGGAGCCGATTCTCCGAGGGAGTGGGTGACCGGGGGGAAAGCTGTTGACCAGGTTTGGATTCCTACATGATACACCTGTCAAAACATTTCTGGCTGTTCGCTGCGCCGGGCGGCAAAAGCGAACGGCGAATGGCGTGTTACTATGGGACAGGTCATGTTGTTCTCTAAGAAAGACTTTCTCATAATAGCCTACCTAATCTATGATGAACCTGCCAAAAATAGTTCCTACGCATGCGAAGCCCGCTTTCTTATGCATATCCTTTCAGCTGGTGGAAACAGTCATCACGCTGCAAGGACCAAAGGATGGAGCTTCTGCAGAAGCTTCCAAAAGCAATATGCAGCATGCAACTCCCGCCTTCTGGTTGGTTGCAAGGCAAGACGGCTCCGGAGTAAGCTGCGTCAGGGCTTTCCTCACTCTGCCCTGCCATCCATTCGGGGTGTGGTCTCTCAGGACGATCTGGTGATATTGATAGTGGCACGCCCATCAACCCGTCACAGGTCCTGCATGAAAGAGGATTCCCTAGTGGAAAGGCATAACAGTCGTTGCATTGGCCCGCTATTCGGCAGATGAAAATACATGTGATGTGACAACAAGAGAACTCCTGTGTGATGGATTGCATGGAGCTGGGGTAGCATCCGATGATCTCTGCGCAGCCCTGGGCCGTAGGTGCGCCAGAATGTTTATGAGGACCCTGGCCCTCCCGTCAATCAGGAACGGGGAGAAATGCCCTTTTCCGCTCTCGATGGCCTCGTCCTCGAGTTTGATGTTCGTTCAACCTTCTTCCCCACGATAGAGAGGATTCGTATCAGACTTCACCATGGCTGATACAGACCTACCACTTGTTCACCCGCCGATGCGGACCGATGTCATCGGCTACTTGGCATGCAACTCTATCCTCGGTTTCATATCTCTGGTTATTCTGGCATTGCGAGTTTGGGGACGCATGATAGGAATCGGATTGGGTCCCGACGACTGGCTTATTCTTGCAGCAGAGGCGAGTTGCTCACTTGCTTCCCATATCTCGCCAACTTCTCTCCATTCTAACTCTTTGACTTCATCAGCCTCTCGCGCTTTGTGGTGTCATTTTCCAGGGAATACGTAAGAGCTCCTCTTGGGAACATTGGGAATCTTTGAACATAAGACACTAACCTGGCCAACAGACTCTACTCTCGGTATTGGCTATGATATGCCAACACACCCCGAACGTGAGCCTCCTCCAAGCTGCCTGAAACTTCCCTTTAATTCCTAGTACCGGTGCAGTTGCCCCAATTTACGGATTCTAATACAGCTAGCAGTTGCCGCCAACATTACCCACATGCTCAAAATAATCTTTGTCCAACAGATAGTCTACCTTTTTGCCCTGGGAGCGATCAAACTCAGCATACTCTTCTTCTACCTTCGGATCTTTGGCTCGGCTGGGCGCACCCGCCTTCTGATCATCGCCACCATGGGGCTATCCGCAGTCTGGATGGTGTCCTTCATCTTCGCGGCCTCGTTCTTGTGCAAGCCGGTCAAGAAGCAATGGATACCGCTCACTCCGGGAGAATGCGGGGATCAGCTGGCTATGGATGAGAGCATGGTCATCACCAACATTATAACGGATCTTGTCATCATTGTGTTGCCCATGTACACCATCTGGAACCTTAAGCTGCGCGTGGCTGAACGGCTGGGTCTCATGATGGCATTTTCGCTGGGTCTCGCGTGAGTGTTCACTTCCATCTCGAAGACAAGATTCGCCATGGGCCGATTATCACTAACACTACAAACAGCGTTGTCGTAGCAGGCATCTTCCGCATCGTCTACATCAAGGGAGCCGACCTCACCAACAACCTCACGGGAACATTGGCAATCTCCATCTTCATCTCCCAGATCGAACCCCTCCTCGGCATCATCTGCGTCAGCATCCCCATGCTGGCTCCCATCTACAAGCGATACCGACACCCCAATTCGTCAGCCAGATATTACTACGAGCAGCAGCATCCCAACTCTGGAGGGCCGTCGGGGCGGCAGGTTGGTGCGTCGGCGGGCGGGAGCAGAAACACGCGCCACTGGGAAATGAACAACATGAAGATCGAGACCGCAGCAGCGAGGAACGACGACGAAGCCAAAAGCCTGGACGGTGCGGGCTCGGATAAAAACCTTACGACGGCGGCAGCGCCTCACGGTATCAGG